CACCAATCAAGGAACCTAGTAAATATGATCCAAACCGAATATTAATTCATCACCACAGCAGAAAATGAAGAGGTTGAAATCTGGAAAGAGGTTTCTTTAGGTCATTTCATTTCCAGCTGATTTATGCATGGGCGATGATTAGCTTTGCTGTAGTGTGGGTGAGGGATGGCAATGAAAGTTATAATTCTGGTAATACTGATCAGTGCAATTGGATTATTGAAACAAGAAGGCATCTTTATTCATACAGTGTAAGTTAGCTGTGAAAGCAGAATATGGTATTGTTTTATTTGGACTTATGAAAAAGCTATGGCTACAATGTGAGATTGTGTGAAATTTATAGAAAGGGTACAACTGAGAATTGCAACAGTATGATTGAAGATGAAGTAAACTTTTAGTCTTCTGGAGTACATCCCAAAAGAAGCTAGGGTATAAAAGCAAAAATGGAATATATAACTATTCTATTTTCCCAAAATAATCTACCCTTTTGTAAAATGTTACAATTTCATATACAGTACAAGGCAAGGGTGTCAAACTCTCGTCATCATGGAGGCGTCACTGACATATTGCAACTTTTTCCCCCTTCGCTAAACCGGGCATAGGTGTGGAAGCATGTGATGCATCTGGCCTGCAAGCCGTGAGTTTGACAACTCTGGTATAAGGAATAATGTTTGCCCAGAGCATTCTTGTAAATAAGCATGGTGTTAAAAACTAACATTTTGTTTTGCCAGCAAGAAAATTTGTAGGTTGATTGTGGCCTTGAGAAATTGATGGTAAAAGCTAGCTCTGTCTATAAGGGCTGGCCTTCCCAAAATTTGATAGTAGATGAGATATGGACCTGATAAAAAATCTGGTTGGCTATCACCCTCTCTGAGATTTGCCATTCTGGTTTTGGATCCTTCAAAAATATATATACCTTCCTTCCTCCCTCCCTCCCTCTTTACTTGCTTTTTGTTTGTTTGTTTAAGGAAAGACACCTTGACATATTGGTTTCTCAATATGATAAATCCATGGTAGAAAATGGAGAAGGAAGGGAGAGGGAGATGGGACAGAGCAAGAGAGAGAGGGAGAGGAGAAATTGAGACTTGTAATTACAATTGTGATACCTGTACCTTTGATTCTGTCACAGTCCACATCACATAGCAGACAGCACTGCTATGATCTCGCTTTGCTCAGCCTTATGCAATCAGAAAATCTGGTGGCCGCATCACTTTATACAGCAATAAGAATGCTCAGCATTTGTTCTCATTCTACAAAAACCATCCTTGACGATATTTTAATTAAAATCTTTTTCTAGTTATGGAACTACTGATAGAAATATTATGGGTGTTATCTTTGCCATGCTATAACAAATAGGATTGTGCTGTTGTAACTACCAGAAAAATGTACTATAGAAGACAAAACCATATAGTGAAATATATCGATGTGACAAATTAGTAAGAGAATAGAGAAAGCAGACATCAAGCAGACTGCTTAAAAAAATAGCTACACGTTAAAGGTAACAATGGCACCATCTATTGCAGAGACACCATTAAATTATTGCCTGTAAAATTAAGGCCAAGCATTGAGCTATTTGAGTGCTGTGGCTCAACTCCACAGGCTTTTTCCTTAATATCACATATCTGTGAAATAAACATTTGTGATGACATATAGGTCATCACAAATGTTATATACCCTAATATTTAAGGCAACGTATTTATAAATTCAGATTTGCTGAATTTATTCATTTGAATGTAATTTTGTAAGTTCATTTCGGGACAACTAAACATGGACCCCTCAATAGTGATGATGATGATGATTTATACACAGAACTGGGCTCAGAATCTAGCAGGTAGAAGTAATTGGTATTTTTATTTTTGTATAAAAGATGATACTGGAACACCAATTTTAATAAATTGATTGTCACATCTGTATCTAGAAAGTGATGACAGCATGAAAGATGAGGTGCACGCCAGACTGAACAAAGCATGGTTACAGTGGAAGATCACTTGTGTGCTCTATGACTGATGCATGCCAGTCCATCTAAAATTGAAGATGTGTAAAACAATGGTATGCCTAGCAGCTCTATATTGTGCTGAGTGCTGGCCAGCTATCTAATGTGTTGAGCACACTTTACACGCCATGCAGATGCACATGCTTCATTGGTCATTAGGCGTTTCTCTCTTTGACCATATCAGCAATGACACAGTTCAGAAGCAAACGGACACTGTGCCAATATCAAAGAAAATGTGGGAGAAACGCCTACAGTGGTATAGTCGTGTTCTATGAGCAGCACCCTACACCGTTGATTACATCTCTTCCAATTTAATTTAGATGGCAAGCACCCAAGTGGAAGGCTGATGCAAAGATGGCAAGTTACAATAAATGTGGACATGAAAAATGCCCAGTTGCACCTGGATGCTGCATTTGATTATGCAAAATGGTGCTTGTTGACCTGAAAAGTGGACTCTGAATCTGTGGGAAAAATGCTGATGCTGCTGATTGTCACGTCTGTTATTTGCTTGGGCATCTCAGCTTTTTGCCCACTACAGTTTATGAAATCTGTTGCACGCATACTCAATGCACATTCCCATGCTTTCACCTTAGATGTCCATTTTTTTATGTGTACATTAACATTTGTAAGGACATTTAGATTCCTAAAAATTATACTATCTTGCAGATTGTCACTCTCTTAGCATACCGTTTGTATTTTACACACACCCACACCCACCCACCCACCCACCCACCCACACACACACGACTAAAACTCTCAGTGTTTGTCTGTTCGTAACCTTCAATCAGGCAAAATGATGCATCATAGGGCAACAATTTTTTTTAATCAACATACCTCAAATGGGTTAACCTAAATGGTGCATCGAAATTCCAGGACCTATGGAATTGTAATTTGGCAAAGTTGTGGCTGTTTCAGTGCAGCTGCAGTCACGTGATCATAATTTGCTCCCTGCCAAGTTCCTCCAAGAAAGATCTGTGGGGAAGCTACCAGAAAGTCAGAGGTGTTTCCCATTCCCACCACTGTTTTGCCTGCCTGTGGTCATTCTGTTCTCAGTTTAAGTAGGTAAATATTTCTGAAATGGTGATCCAACAGGTCACAGCTTGTGTAGTCTCCAATCTTGTCCTGAAACACTACAATTGTAGCATTCTCCACTCTCCTCTTGCTAACTTTATTTGCCTTACAAGCATGCATAGACAATAGCTACACAAATCTGGTATAAAAAAAGACAATCCCATTCTGACCTTTTTACATATATATATATATATATATATAATAGGCCTGTCTTTGGGGAAAACAGTACATACAGTATTCAGGTATCTACACTCCATAGGAAACATTGAGTTTACAGCAGAGAGCTGACATCAATCTAATATGCTATGGTATAGATTGTCGAGAAATATCATTTATATGCAGGATGTTCATACGTGTGTGTGTGTGTGTGTGTGTTTCTCTCCTTGTATAAATTGAGATGGGTTTGGTTTGGCTATAGCCCCTGCTATTGGTTCCAGACCATCATGTGCCAAGCCTGGCTGAGGCTTTGGGATGCTCTGTGCTTGCATTAAATCGATCCACTGCTGCACATTAGAGCTGAACCTGCCAGTGAATCAGACCTTTTCTTTTTTTTTTCTTTTTTCCATTTCTCTGCCTGCCTGCCTGCCTGCTTGCCTGCCTCCGTAGCACCAGTCTTATTTTAGCTTATCGAGGAGGAGGAGGAGGAGGAGGAGGAGAAGGAGGAAGAAGAGGAAGAAGGAGAAGAAGAATACAGGCAGAAAAAAATACTTGACATTGCAGCAACCAGGGAACCCTTATGAGTAGATGGTGGATGGAAACTACTTCTCTTGTCTCTTTCATTTTTGGATTTTACAGGATTTCTTTGCTGCATTCAGCTCCAAGATGAAGCAAAACTGACACACAGAGAAAATTATACACGCAGTCACACCGGGTGGAAAAAAAAAAGAGAAAGCAGAGACTGCTGGATAGCAAGGGGGGGAGGAATATCCTACAGCTTCAGCAGCTTAAAGGGAGCCCAAACCCCTTTCACCTTCAGATCTTGGACACTGCTGAAGATAGCAGGATGGAGCTAAAGTGAAAACAAATCTTGGGGTGTGGGGGGGGTGCTTTTATTTTGGTTTTAGGATTTTTGTTTTGATTTGATTTTTGGTTTGGTGTGTATATTTGTAAGTTATTTTTGCCTTTCTTTTTTTTGAACAATTATTGTGTTGTTTTTTTTACAGTGCATTGTTTTGTGAGATGGAAAGGCAAGTACAGTGATATCGTAAATCTGATAGAAATATTTTATATCGTTTTTTTTCCTTTTTTTCCTTTTTTTTTTTTGGAGCACAGATACTTGCCAACCTGCTCAGTATAAAGGAAGCCTGCATTTTTCTCATTACATTGAACTGAAGTACTGAATCTATGTGAGGCTAATTTTGATGGTGTCTTTTTATTTTTATTTCAATTTATTTCCCTTCGGGCTTTGAATATAGAAGTAGGAGTGAGGAATTGGTGCATTCATTTTCTTTAATTGTATTTTTCCTTCCTTGGTAGGGTAGAGGTACTGCTGTCACTTATTTAATTTGTCATCCTCCCCCTTTTCATCTCCCAAAGGCAATGTCTTTTTTTAATTGAAATATTTTTAATTGAGGGTGCATTGAATCTTTTTCATTGCAATTTGTTTTAGGAGCAGTTTGCTGCATTTTTCCCTGTGAACTGCAACCCACTATTTGGAGTTATTTTTTCTTCTTCTTGGGGTGTGTCCCCCCTCCCCAGTTGCAGTCATTTAGGTTGAGGTGGAGAGAATTTAGTACATTATTTCCAACCTACATAGGGAGGTGCGAGTGACCATGCCCAGGACCTCTGCTGCTTTCCTTGGCTGTGCTCCTGCCTGAGTGCCCCCTCCCTCTGCTGCAAGCTCCCCAGCAGCATCGACAGCAGCCGATGGGATGCGATGAGCTTCTTCTCTCCAGCAACATCCTCAGCAGCATAACCCCCGGCCCTTTGCTCTTTGCAGGATGGCTCGGTTTGGAGATGAGGTGCCAGCCCGCTATGGGGCAGGAGGTTCAGGGGGAGCTGGCGCTGGAACAGCAGGCGGCGGAGGTGGCCGGGGTGCTGGGGGCGTTCGGCAAGGTGGTCCCCCAGGGGCCCAGAGGATATATAAACAGTCGATGGCCCAGCGAGCCCGTACCATGGCACTCTACAACCCCATTCCTGTTCGGCAGAACTGTCTGACTCTCAACCGCTCCCTCTTCCTCTTCAGTGAAGACAACGTGGTGAGGAAATACGCCAAAAAGATCACCGAATGGCCATATCCTTTCTATGGGGGGGGGGGGGAGCTGTTCAGTATCAATACTTAGGCCGCGGTAATTACTTACACTTGAGAAAGACCAATAGCAAACACTGTCCTGCATGCTTGATCCTGCCTCTGCATGAAGTCCCACTAGCACATCCTCTCCACCCCCAGCATTCCTGTTCAACCCCTGCATGTCCATATCATCCATTTCTCACATCGATATGACTTCTGGATGCATTTCCTCTCTCATCAACATGTTTCTGCCAAGGCTCTTTTTTTTTCTCTCTTTCAACCAGATTTATTTAACTGATACTGCCAGTTCTATTGCTGAATGCATCCCTTTTCTGTTCCCGGGACGTGTAGTGTTTTATTGGGAGATGCTTTTTTTCTTTTGTCCACATGTCTTTCTGCTTGCAATATCACCCTTTAATGTGTACATCATTTTATGTGTCTGTTTCTTCTGGAATCTCTCCCTACGAAGAGATTCTGAGCTTCTCACTAACCTAAGCATCGGATAATTTATTTCCTTCTCTCCTTGCTTTACCTTTGAAACCTGTTAAAAACTATTATTGAAAAATAGTTCTTTCTTTATCATGGAAAGGGTGGAGATGGTGCAATGGGGGGAGGGGGGAGACCGGACAGGTAGCATTATGTTTTTATTTCTTTCCCATAGTTTGGAGTTTTAGAGGCTGCCCCAGTTTCCCCTTCTTAGGATAAAAGAACTTGTAGGCCTAGGATCTTCATGGGCAATCAGTAGCTAGTATGGTTGCCAAATATATGTTATGATATGATATGGGGAGTAGGGCTCCCCAGCACTATTTCTAGTTTATTGCACAGAAAATTGTCAAATAGTATGGATCAGGAATCAGCCTAACAATCTTTAGAAGAGACACGTGGTGAGAAATGAGTAGCTAAATGGGTTCTCCCCTCCCCCAACTGTTCTACAGGGCTGCCAAGAAGTGTTCCATGTTATTAATATGCATGTAATCCAGGAGCAGGAGACTTGAGCACTTGAGATCCAAGAAGATAATTAATATTTTTTTTTTGTGGGGAGAGATTGATGAGCATTACTAATTGCGGGAGGGGGTGTTTTCAGGCTATTTGTTTCCTCTGATATGGAAGAAAAAGCCAGATTCATCACTCCAAGTCGGTATGTAAATACTTTATTTTCTTTAATTCCTATACTATTTTGTATGTTGGCAAAGAAAAATATGTGGCTGTAATGTGTAAATTATGTTATTTTTGTGGATGCTCTCCAGGTTTGCATGTACTTTAAACCTAGTTTATTCTAATGAAAAAAAAACTTAGTGTCTACTAATGCTTAGGTATAAAATATTGTTTTTATTCTCTGATGCAATATTAACAGTATTTTTCAGTGTTCTTTTGTGCAGATTGAATATAAGGCACTAATTTCATGTCTATGGAAAAATATTCTTGTGTTTGTTACAGCTTATTTTGTAGTTTTAATGAAAGGATTATGTGCAGTTTTGTTGTCAGTTTGAGGAAAGACAGTATTTTACAGAAAGGTGATACTAGAACACATCTCTAAAATTAATGGTGTTAAATGCAAGGGTATGCACTGTAAATGCAAATAATCAGATTTTAGTTCCCTATTGTATAAAAGATTTTGTACATTTTTTAAAAATGCACATGGTTGAGTTAGTTCATCACCTTAGAAAAGAGAGTTTATTGAGCATGCCTTTAAAGTTATTAAAATAGAAGCTGAAAACATTGATTGAGATAGAAATATATACAGATGGATGGGAAATCTATTAAATTTCATTCATTGTAATTATTCATAGAACTTAAGAATCCTTTGAAAATTCAAGTTATTTGTGTGTATTGTTTCTCATGGAAGTACAAAATTATTTTTGTGTTTTGGTAAAATGAGGGAATAAAATTTGAGAGATGGAAAGTAATCATAACCAGGTTGATCCTGTGAATGGAGTGCTGGGATTTATACAAGTTGTAATCTCAGTTCAATCACAAGTAACATAGTTAGAATTTTCTTTCTAAATGTAAAATGGAAATGATGATGATGATGATGATGTGATAAGAATAGAAGAAGCTGTCTTAATGCTAGATAGTCAGTTAAGCATAGTAGTATCAATACTGACTGCAAATAATAAGGTTTCCAGGTATTTTTTTCTATTTCACCTATAGATGCCAAAAATGAAATTTCTTCAATAGTTCAACAAGAATGAATGACTCAAAGATTTATAATGTTGCTCATAGAATAATCTGCTATTGGCAGTGGTTATGTTAAATCTTGGTGGGTACATGGGTTTCACAGAGTTTAAATGTATAAAATGCTCAATTCCCAGCATTCTCCTGACCATCTTCCTTTCCCCAATGTTACTTCAATATTTCAGTGTTCTTTTCTTACATACCTTCCCAACATTTCATTATATTTAACAGAGAGGTCAAACATGAATGCTAGATACAGTCCACCAGAAATGTAGGGTAAAACAAGACATGACTGACTATTTTTGTAGCAATATCACTTGGCCGTTGAAATTGAGTAAATTGGGCCTTTAACTTGTTCTAGATTCCTTCTCAGAGTAATTCTCCAGTAAAACTAGTTGCAATAGTACTCCAAAATAGCTAGAAAAGTGAGTTAGAAGGGGGCTATGCAAATAAAATGCAAAATATAGACTTGCTGTTTCATATTTGAATGATTTTCATTATATTCTTACAACAATTTAAATAAAGTATACCTTGAATAGATTTGAAGAGTCAGACCAATAGATATAAATGTAGCCTCGGACATTAATAACTGATATTCATTTCTATAGGAAACAGTAAGATAGTAATATGGAAATAATATCCAAGGAATGTTGAATTCTGCCCAAGCACTGCATGACTCCTTGTGTTGAGAAGTATTGTTCTTTCTCTTCCTCCCGAAAGTCACACAACAATAGTGTTCGTTTAACTATAATTTAATAATTCAATCACAGTGACTGTATGTAAAGTTGGGGAAGTAGTAAGCAGTTAAAAGAAACAGATTGAAACCAGGTTTAGAAAATAAGTCCTTTTCTAGTTTAAGGATAGGAGGAGGAGGATAAGAATCTGTAGGAGTTTAATAAACATGACTGAAGCAAATATTGAATTCTCCCTTAGGTCCCAGCTTCCAAATGATGATCTTCACCTAATTATTAATCACAGAGACATGGACTCATATGTAGCTTTTGAATTTTATAGTCCAACAGGGAGTAAAAGTTTGTAATGGAGGAGATGGGAAGACTGATTAGAAATACAAAAATTGTTGTCTGTAACCTGCCAAGCTTGTCTATTCTGTGTTCTGCCTTGTCAATACTCTATCTGTGATTTTTGCGGTGTATGAGCCAACATTCTACCCTGAATTTTTGCATGTTTTATATTAGGTGGGTTAGCATTCTACAGTTTTGTATCATCCAGATAACTTGGTTCATGGCTTTCTTCATCCTCATGCAGCAGAGTCTTTGATTGGTTTGGATAATATGAATTATTGTCTAACATATCTGTCAGATTGATAAAAGCTTGGACACGTTGGTTAGTATTCCATTACAGAAACTCTCCAAATTTAGGTGGAAAATACAATATTGCATCAGAAGATGCAAGTGAAGTAAGAGTAGCAAGTGGAACAAATGTTTTTTGTGTCACATATTTAAAGTTAGGATCTTCCATTCATGAAGGAGAAGAGCGATAAGAATTTTAGTTGCTCGTGTCACTATTACCAGATAGAAAACTTTTAGTTGCTCCCATCCTTTTACAAACCACATACTGGATTAGTTCACACATTGTGACAAATCATTGTTTTTTTAAAACTGTAGGTCATTGAATGAAACATTAGCTGCATCCATCTGCCAGGCCAAGTCATCAGCAATAGTTTACAAACCACAATGGCTAGGTTTTTGTCATAACTTGTTTCTTAACCAAGGCTTGTTGAATAACAATTACTAGATTCTCACAGTGAGCTTAGACCAAACTAGATAAGTCACATTTTTGTTTTATATGATGTTTGAGTTCAGTGATTGCCTCTTTCCAAAGGCCTGCAAGGATATTATATCTCCATCAACTATCTGTGTTTTTAATGGTGTGCAAAATGAATGCTCTCACCGTTTTCTGCAGCCAGAAAATGATGGGATTTTTTTACCCCTGGGGAGTTTCTCTAAGAACCTTTATAAACTTGGCAACTAGTAGCAGTTTGTGATTTCTACTATTATAAGGGTAGAAGTGGGATGCCGTTTGGATATTTTTGAGGAAAAAACTGTAAGAAGGTGAGTATGACTATATCATGTTGTTCTTTCTTAGTTTCTAAAAAAGAAGAAATGCAACAACTCCAAAATAACTTCCCTTGTAACTTTTCCTTTCAAAAGTTGCATTTCCTCAAAAAGAATCTATTCAGGTCACATGACAATATTGAAGCAGGCAAAACTGGGACAAGTGGTGGGTAGCCCCAAACCAAAATTGAATCTTTCCACACTCCTTTCTCTTGTTTTTTTTCCCTCTTGTCCCCTAAGTTGCTGAGATAGTAATTGATTCATCTATTTGGAGTACCATTGTTCAGTTCAGGTCACTACAGTCTAAAAAGGAGAATAACAAATTGGAGCAAGTTCAGAGGTGGACTACCAAGATGGCGAAGAGTCCAGAAATCAAACCCTAGTATCTGGGTAAGTTTATCCTATAGAAAATATGACCAAAGGGAAATGACACCAGTCTTCAAAGAGAGAATATATTTCTCTATATTGCCCCCAAACCACAGGACCAGAGCCAATGGATTAAAACAACAAGGAGCTTAAGGCTAAACATCAGGGAAAACTTCCTGATTGTATGACCTGTAAGCCTCAATGCAGAAGCTATCTGAATATCAGAATAGGCTACCTCATTATGTAGTAAATTCTCTTTCACTAGGTCTGGATGCTCACTTGTCATAGACGCTGCACTGAGCAGTGGGTGGGATTGAATTGGTTTATTTCAGTTCTATGATTCTTGAATGGAAAGAAAAATCTAAGCATTCTGAATTTATTGCTTCC